CAACCAGCCTTTTGCCCTTAACTTGGAGATAAGCAGTTTTAACGAACAACATTTTTCACTGCTGTATTTACAAGCTCGGGACGCCGTTGTGCTCAGCTGAGGCAGATAGCATTGTTCATCTTAATTATGGTGACTAGATACGGAACAACCTGGAATTTCCAACAGCTGAGCAGGGCTGTCATAAATAGGCCATTCTGAATGGCTTTCAGAGAGGGTCGCCGTAAGTCAGAGACGGTTTGGTGGTGCATAAGAACAACCGATGTGTGACGCTTGTCAGAAAATAATTGACAAGAGTCACCGCCCCAAGTTTCTTCCGATGGATATAATGAGATAAGTCCCAACAGGCAAGATGTCTTGCCGTAATTTAAAAGTATGCGGTTTGAACAAGCCTCACTCACAAGACGGATTGGATGAACACCAACCGTTCATGCGCCGTCCCCGATGCTCTTCGTGTTGCTTTCTCGTGTTTTCGTTCGAGTTCTGATAAGATTTTGCTTGATTAATGAAAGATGGGCAGCCGGGTGAGCAGCAAGATTGCATTTCTAGCAGTCTTGTCCGTATTAATACCTCACCTCGGAGAAGTTGGTAGGCTGGGTAGAAATTATGGTGCTTCATTAGGAGCCTACACAAAAGAGATGATAAAGGGCAGGTAATACTTACATCTCTTCTGTTATTGGGAATGTCTCAAAAAAAGAATCGCAGACAGATCATTGGCCATCAAAGAGCGTTTTCTGGGACTAGGTCTCTGTTCAGATGCTGCCCCATGAAGATTCCCTAACCTTAATTAGGTTTCTGGAGGGATCCCATAATCACATCTGCTCTCATTAAGCGAGGCAAAAGTGATATGTTTTGAACATCACTAATTGGGGAGAATCTTAAAAGGGAATGGACCTTTCCATCCTTGGCACTTGGCTTTGGCCAGGCCTTAGGAGATGGGAGGCATCCGGGCCGGGGGTGGGAATCGGTCTGAGTCCCCCTCAGCGCGGCTCCCTGACTCCAGCCCACTCCCTCTCTTCCCTGAGCTCACGTCATGCCAAGCGTTTGCGTGGGGACCCAGCAGGACTCGCGTTCAGCAGAGTTGGGCTTCCACATGCGATTTGTGAGCTTTGCAAAAAGAATTGCGCAGTAGGCCTGTTGTGTGTGCAGAATCGCACGGCTGGCAGACCTTGTGCGCAGAGTTCCAGACTTTGCGAACTCTGCACAAAGAACTCACTGGCGTTCCCAAGCGGTCCTGGACCAGACCTCAGCTCGGCTCGCTTCCAGGCCCGGGCCGAGCATGGGAAAGACGCCTGGCAAGCACAGGAGAGCGGGGTCCTGACCCAGCCGGCCCATCCCCGGGTGGCAGTCAGCACTTCGGAGCTGGCCACGGCCCTCCCCAGGGCCACTGGCTTCCCAGGCCTCTGGCTCCAGCAGCCGCGACCCGAGGACAAAAAGGTCCACGCCACTGTCTCCTCGTGATCCTCTGGACTTTTCCTCCGCACCGGCAACTGCGCCACGGAGCTGATCCAGCTGCTTTTCAGCAGGGCATTTGCTGAAGCCGGAGATGACTCCCCACAGCTGCTGTCTGCACTGCTCCAGAGGGTTTGGGCTCCTCAAAAGGAGGGTTCCTGGAGGTAGTTTCTAGTGTGGGGTCAGCCAATAACTCTGTGCATGCTCAGAGACTCTTTCTTTGCTGGTTATGCTTTGCTGGGCACACACTGGGGGAAGAAAGGGCTTGTGCAAAGGGTAGTCTGTTGTTTTGAAAGGGCAAAGGGGTAACCCTTGCCCCCTGCAGCCAGAAACAGTTGGTGAGTCTCAATCAGCACTGAAGTTGTTCAGTCCAGAGATTCAAACTTAGACAGTGAAGAGCACTCAGGGACAAAACTGTGTCTTGGGGAGGGGAAATAAAATCTCAAGTCCCCTTTCCCCAGCATATGGAGAACGTCGCAACTTTCGCTAAATTCTTCTGAGAATTAAACTGAGGCAAATGCAAAGCTCACAAGCAGCAACCTATTCAAAGTCCCTTTTTCCTCTTGGGCAAAGTTCACCACATCCTATTAACTCTCTGCAAAGACGAAAGCATCATCTCGTTGGAATGTTAGCTAATCACCATAAAAATGAAATTGTAGATACTTTGCTTTCGGAATGGATATATTCAGCTGCTAGAAAAGGATTTGTGGCATTTCTTACTCTACACAAAATAATCTGAGAGAGTTGGATCGTGTGTTTCTCAAACTTAATTTCCTGAACTAAACAAAATAAAATCTGTCACTTGGAGCTGTTTAAAATAATTGCTGCTATTGACTTGATTCCGTTTTTAAAGCTTGCCAGTGTAATAAATCCACAATTGCGAGTGTGTGCGCACACTTGCACACGTATGTGGGTAGATGTATGCCTTGATTCCCGTGAGTTTTATGATGAGAGTTTCCGTATCTATTCCTAATGCTGAATTATGAACCTCTGTCAAAACTATCTTTTACAACTGTCGGCAAACAAATCTAATATTCAAGAAAGCAATTTTAACTCGGCGCCTTCTGACTGCATTGGGCTGAAGAAAATGAAATTCCAGCAGCCCTCTCCCAAGAAATACTCCTTTTAATCGCTCGGGGAGCAGAACTGGCAATTTGAAAATAGCTGCTGTCTTTTGAATGACACATATGGAGAAGGGTATAAAGCTAAGATGGAGAAACAGCCCCAGAATCACAAATACCCTGAAATCTCATTAAACCCCAAACTCCTGAAGGTAGGTTCCTCTGTAGTGCATTGTCTCACCTCTGCAGAATTGAAAAGTAACTTGCAGTATATGGGAGAAAATGAATCCATCAGGCCAACTATTCTATATGTGCTTATCTGTGAATAAGTCCCCTTGATTCAGTAAGGCTGACTTATAAATAATTGTACTGGGCAGGGCAGGCCTAACAACAGATGGAGGCCAGGGAATTGACAATTAATTCAGCCAAGAGAGTCGGAATGTTCTTGATATCATTATTCTGCTTTCAGAGAAATCAACCACAGGGAGAATTCAGTGGATCTGCAAAAAAGAAAATAATAGCTTGGGTCTTTGTGTGTTTTCTCCATTCCCCCTGAACTTTCATTAAGCAAGGTGACAAAATGGCTCAGTTCAGCCAAGTGGAAAAGACAAGAAGATGTTTGGAAGCAAAATCCTCATTTATGGAAGCAAAATCCTCAAAAGCCCACATCTTCTAATATAATAAACAAAAGGGGGATCCTTTGAAACCTTGTAAAAAGACCCTTCACCCAAGGGAGAATTGGCCAAACCAAACAGTCCCTCCAGGAAGAGCATCTTGGGGGAGCCACTGTGCTACCTTCTAGTTTGGGGGTACCCTCATTCTGAAGGGCATTCTGGGAAAAAGAGCTGGCAATGTTCAGCCAATCAGAGTGAGTACACTCCAGTAAACCCCTCCCTTCACCCCCAGATTTGAACTGGCTGAAGTCCACTGTGGTGTGGACCTGTTTATGTTGATGAACTCCAATTCCTATCTTGGCTGAATATTGTCCTCGCAGGTTGGAGCGGATGGGAGCTGGTGTCCGAATCCGCTTTCTCTCTAAGAGGGGGCCTTTCTGATCATCTGGGAGCCAGCACAAGCTCAAAAGCAGGCCTTCCAAGAAGTGACAGTGTGTTCCAGAAAAAGATTATTTGTCTTGCGTGTCTCGTGAAAACGTTTATGCGGACTTTTTCTGCCTTGTGATCAATCTTCATTATGTCGCACCAATTTATTTGGGGGAGGGGTCCTTTGTTTACTCTTGTTTTTGCAGCTCTAATGGCTTGCTAATAGTGTATTGAAAACAGTTACCTTAAATACTGTAATATCTAGATAACTCAGAAAATGTATTGTACTTACTGGCATATAAGTCTCCTCCACTGCCTCCTTGCCACCAGGACTGAAAGAGCCCCTGTTACTGCTCTCCAAGACCCGGAAAGCATCTTCAGAGCATCTGTGGAAGAAAGGACAGCAGAAATTCTGCGAATGTCTCAAGAATTAAGAGAGAATTGTTCTTAATTTTGCACAACAATTCATTACTTCTTCATGCATGCCTCCTAGGACAAGTCTTTCTGTATGCCTTTTTGCTAAATAGAGACTTTTGGGATTAACAGAATACATGTTTCTGCATTCTTAACGGCAAATTAAGTTACATGTTCAATGTTTGTATGTGTTCTTTGGACCCATTGCAAAGACAGCAGAAGTACACATTGCAAAATAGAACTGAGATTTGGTTCCAAAGTGGAGAGCGTGCCATTTTTGCAACCTGGATCAGCGGCAACCTGGATCGACCTGGTTTCCGCTTTGCATTCAGAAGGGGCCTGGGTTGACCCACAGCATCTCTGGGTACAGTTTGCTGTAGCTCTGGAGAGAGCCCCTCACCGTCCATGTAGACAGTGCTGGGCCGGAGAGTCTCCTTGCCATGAAGCAGTTCCAGGTCTTTCTCTGTCGACACAGAACTGTGCCCTACATCTGTTTTCAGAATGCTGAATTCAGGATGCCGGCTCCGTTTTCCCAGCCACCTTTGCCAACTTTCTGTACGTCCCTTGATTCTATTGCAGATTCAGCAGCACTGGTTGCTAGGACCATGAAGTTTGCTGATGCTTCTATGATTCTTACTGTTCTTACCTTTCTCTTCTGACTTCCTTTTCCTCCAAGAAATTCAAAACACTTCCCGTCTATTTTATCTTCACAACAGCCCTGCAAGGTAGGTGAGGCTAAGAGCCAGTGACTGTCCCAGTCAACCTGTGAGGTTCAGGGTCTCGCAGGGTCTGGAACTAGATCTCCCCAGCCCCAGACCAGCCCTAACCGCTACACCACACTGGCTCAGGGTTGGTTTTAAAGGAGAGAACATGAAGCGTCTTCCTTCACCACTGGTTGCTTTGCAGGTCCTCCAAGGAAGGCTTCTTCGATTCAGACTTCATTATTTCAACCAGCAGTGGTGTTATTTTTCTTGGTTGTTTTCTGTAGTCTTTCACTGATGTTCTGTTTCCTTTCTCTTTGCTCACTTCCCATTAGGAAATGCTTATCGCGAATGCATGGGAAACGGAACCTGGGCTTTCAAGGTTAACTACTCCCAGTGTGAACCGATCCTGGTTGAAGAGGTCAGTGTGAATCGCTTATCTGTGCATCCTTTCCTGTAACTAGTTGTCAGCTTGAGAATATCCCCCCAGTAGAAGAGGTATGCGAGATCTCGCCCTGGTGTTCTCTTGAGCTCCTTGTCCAAGATGAATCTATGCACTGAAACATTTTTGTACTCTTTAAACATCCCCACCTGGCCCTTTTGCTGGCAGACAAGAAATGCAATGATGAAGTCTTGAATTTTTTTGATCTCAAGTAGCCCTAATCAGAAGGCTTTGGAGAATCATTTGCAAGATCTGCGCTCATCTCACTCATCCTGAGCGAAGAGAATTGCCAGATTTTATTTTATTTATTTATACTTGTCACGTCTGTGACCGCATAATAGAGATTGATTGATATTCATTTATACAGGTGTTTATATACTGTTCTCATAGCCAAAATTGCTCTCTGAATGGTTTGCAGTCATAAAAATGCAAAGAAAAAATATAATACACACACTACTACAATAAAATAGAATTAATTATAATTAATAACATAGCAATGCCATCTCAACTGCATTTTGGCACCTAGGCTGATGAGTAGAAAATAGAAATAAAAGTAATAAAAATAAAATCTAACATAAACAACCAAGTAAACAATAAATAAACAATAAATAAAGAGAGCACACCAAAATATAGAAATAAATGTAGTAAATTAAATTAAAATTAATGGTTAAAATACTGAGAGAATAAGAAGGCTTTTGCAGGGCACCAAAACATGTAAAGGGTCAGCACCAGGTGTTCATCCCTGGAGAGTGAGGTCGATAATTGGGGTACCACTGCTGAAAAGGCCCTTACCCAGGCAGCCAGCCTCCTAGCATCCTTTAAAGGGGCCCCTGGAGAAGGGTCTCAGAAGATGATCGTAAGGTCTGGGTAGGTGGATATGGGTGGAGACATCTTGTGTCTTCCTTCTTCTACTTTTCAGCCAGAAGAAATGGCACCGGCCTGCTAGCTTGTCCTCCAGGCAGCTGACCCTGTTGTTAAATGGCAAGTCAGTTAATCAGCTTTCTCTTATTCATGACTTGAATGTGGATTAAGAGGTTAACCTGGTATATGGAACCAAGACCTGGTTTGGGGAGTTGGGATCAGATTGCTTTTCCCAGGCATGTCCTCCTGGAAATTTGATTTAGCACCAGAACAGAGTAAGGGGCTTGGAAGGAGAATTGTTGTGGTCTGTCACAGGGATGTGGAAACTCAGCCCAGGGGCCACATTTGGCCCTCCACATTTGGCCCTCTTGTCCTGTGCAGTTGCCCGGAAGACCATGTCCCTCTCCCGGACCACTCCAAATTTTCTGCAGCCACAATCATGGAGTGGTCCCCTTGCTTCTGTGCACCTTTTCCCCATTCTGAAAGGTTGAAATCCCTCTTCTAAGACTCAGTTAGGATCCTGAAGATAAAAATGCTGAAGCGTTGGCCCTGTTCCTTTTGCATTTGGCCCTTCCCACTCCAACATGGCCTCTGAGAGCATCTCCAAAGTTGAGTTTGGCCTTCAAGACAAAGATGGTTTTCTGCCCCTCTACGGGGATGCCTTCTCTCTTTCCGGGCTTGCTATGCGCTCAAGTGTTCCTCTAGCGTGTCTGCGTCTTGCATTGGATCCTTAGGACAAATTAGATACTTGGTTCGTATAACCCACCTGCTGTGGACTAATCCTCTTGCCCAGTCTGGAGGCGATGCTTGGATTTGTTGCTGGGGACTTCCAGAGTGCTGGTTCTCAGAGTAACCTCCATTCAGAGGCAAGGCCACCATGGTTGAGGGTACAGCCATGAGGTCTGGAGAAGCCCCAAACACGGTAGTCCTCGACATGAATTGGGGTTGTTGTAGCAGCTATGAGAATGCACACCCTAAACTGAGTTTTTTGTACTGCTTAGGAGGCTGTGGTGGGAGAACTTAGATCTGTTCCCTTATTACGACACCCATCGCTTCTTGTTCAGATGTAGCTTTGGTGGACACTCCTATCAAGACCCTGATCATTCTGTGGAATATGGAGAAGTCCTCCTGGCATTTAACATAGAAACACAGAAACTGAGTGAGTCAGAAGGGGCCTCCCAGGCCATCTAGTCTGACCCCCGGCTCCAGCCGGCTCTGCTCATGATATGCCCACCATGTGCATATCCAGCCTATCCTTGAACGCCTCACCAATAGTGCTTCAACCAGCTCCTGTGAATGCCCATTCCATGCCCTTGGCATCCTAACTCTCAGGAAGTGCTTCCTGGCATCTAAAACCTTAGTTCCTTGAGCTTAGCTCCGTTGGAGCGCATCATGCCCTCCTCTGCAGGGGAGAACAGGTCTCTACCTGCCTCCGTGTGGCACCCCCTCACGTACCTGCATGTCATTAACATCCCCTCTGAGTCTCCTCTTCTCCAGGCTGAAGAGACCCAGTTCCCTCAGTCTCGCCTCATACCCCATCCCCTGCAAACCGGCCACCAACCTTGTGGCCCTTCGCTGCACTGACTCCGACCTGGCTATATCCTTCCTGTAATGTGGAGCCCAGAACTGAACACAATGCTCCAGTTGCTATGTTTGAACACCAAGGAAAGATTTCTACAGCACTGCTCTCTTGTTCAGTAGTTCTAACCTTTATATTTTCAGTCCTTCTCACGGTGCTTCTGTTAACCTCTCCCTCTTTTTAACTGCCTGCTGCTTTTAAGGGTTGGTTTGTGCTGATTCTGCTTCTACAAAGTCCTTCTTTTTGTTTGTTTTTGTGGACTTCATCTTTTTTATGGTTCCTTGCCCTGAAAACAATGAGCTATGCAGCAGCTATTTGGCTTTGGAAGTAAATATTAGGAAATAAACAAATGGCCCAAATACTGTATCCTAATGATAGAGAAACTTAATAGCCCTCTAAGCCGATTTCCTTCCTGTGAAATCCTGCCAATGGCCATTTCTCTTGGGCAGCTCTTGGATGCCCTCCTAGCAGAGCGCGTGCCCATGCAGGGAATCTCTGCCGAAGGAGCTTTGCTCCCATCACGGGACTTCACCTCTGCTCGGTTCATTTTCAAGTCTCCCTGTCACACGTGCGCTAAGCCCCATCTTCTGCCAAGTGCTTCAGGAGGCAAGAGTCGAAACGTTCCCAGTGGCCCGTACTGTTTGAAAGGCATTAACCGTTCCATTCCTCACAGGTTTACCAAAGTGCTTTATAAATATTAAAGTGAAGAAATAATTCCCCAAACGCCTTGTGGCGGGCTGGTTTTATAAGCAAACGTCTCTTTGTAATCCCAGTGTTGATCAAAGCCCAGATTTGCTCTGCTTCAAATGACCTTTTGTTGTGCCTTCGTATTACTCCTTTTGCAATCTAAACAGATGGACTGTATTAACTGAGTGACCAGCTGCAGTCTTTCTCCAAATGTTACAAGGCTTTACTTCTGTTTCTCTCCTGCACGCGGCTGACTAGCCGAGTCTGAGGGCGCTCTGCACGTGAGAGCAACTGCGGGCTGAGTCTGGTTGTGATGGTTCCTCTGTTTTTCATCATCTCCAGACAAAACCTGCCCTGCATTACAAAGTGGCCATGATCATCAACTACCTGGGGCACTGCCTGTCTGTCGGAGCGCTTGTGGTTGCCTTCCTGCTGTTCCTGTGTTTGAGGTGAGCCGTCCGCCTTTCACCCTGTGGCTGTCCAACTCTCTTCCGTGCTTGGCATTGGTCTTGGGACCTTCCTCGCCATGGCAGTCCCGGCCGATGGGCTCGAGGTCAAGAGCACAGCAGCCCAAGCTGGAAGTGACTTTCTACCTCTGCTGGTGTTTCTGTGCTCTCCAGCTCCGCAACCACACCGCGGCAGCTCGGGAATGTGGACCCCAGCTTCCCTTCTCAAGACAAAGCAAAACCACACACAAGAGTCCAGTCAAAATCCAATGAAGGCCATTCTGGCTGAGCCCACCTGGCTTTTGAAAATTGCTGCCTGGACCTCATTGGCTTTGGACCACAGCTGCCCCACTGCAGGCCTGTGGCCCAGTGAATATGTGGGGATGGGTGGATCTGCCTGTTTTGCTATCTCCCACATTTGTGTTTTTGAAATGTCCAGTTCTCTTTCTCCCAGGAAGGAAGAACTGTGCAGCATTTGGTCAGTTCTGATCAAAACCATAGTTGGTTGATTGCTTGGAGAAGCAAACACGGGTGTTTAAGAGGAAGGCGCACGTAGCCCTGGACTTGAATGGACAAGACCAGTCATTTCAGTTTATCCCCATTTGTCTTTCCTTTCCTTTCCAATTTCCCCCTTTTGCAGATCCCAAGTTCTTTTGTCCCAAATATAGAGAACTTCTAAATTCAGATCAAAACTGAGCTGATCCCAACCCAGTTTTTGTTACAACCCACATTCAGCTCTCAGGGTACATGGGTGGAACACCCACTTCCTATCAACTCTCTCCAAAAGAAGTATGCTTTCCCTGAAATTTAAGCTAATAGCCATAAAAAATGTGTTCATGCATATTTCACATTCAGAATGAATTTATGTAGCCTCTAGAAAATGGATTTGTGGCTTACTTTGAATGAGTCCATGGAAAAATCTATCCATTTCAGTTTCTCCCACATTTGATATTTGATATTGTTTCTTCTTAAGTTCTTTTTGTCTCCAATAGAGCTTTGCCAATGTTGGAAAATTCTTACCAAAACCAAACTGAAATTCTTACCTCACTAGGTGAATATTGAAGAAACCACAATTAGCAACCATTTCTAATGTTGAAGAAACCACAATGAGCAGTGATTTCCCCAAAAAGGTCTACACAATTTCACACACACACACCACCTTCGTGCAAGCAAAATTGCTAACATGAGCATTGCATATTACCAGGAAATGTCAGGGCGTGTCTGATGCTTCAGAATCATCAGTGGAGCCAAAAAAGAAACTTAAGAGAAGGGATCCCCCAACTGTCTTTCTCCCATATTGAAACAAACACCAAAAAATGTGGACATCAAAAGTTGAGCTAAGCTGGGTCAGACCAAAGGCTGCCTCTGTTTGCACAGCTCTCCCAGTGAGAAATCCACGAGAGAGACAAGAGGGCAGCTCTCTCGTCCCCATGTTCCTCAACTCCTGCTACTGGAGGTTGCCATCAGCCATCAGGACCATCAAAACCAGTAGCCATGAAGAGTCCTACTGGATCAGGGCGAGGGTCTCTCTACTCCAGCTTTCTGTTCACACAGTGACCAACCAGCTGTCCAGTTGTGCAACAGCACACTCTTCCACCCATGTTCCCCAGCAATGATGTACATAGAGATATTGCCTTGATATTGGAGGTAGCATGTAGCCATTGGGATTATTAGCCGTTAATAGCCTTTTTCTCCATGAAAGCGCACGATCCTCTTTTGAGGCTGTCCAAAATGGCGGCCATCACAAAATCTTGTGGAAGCAAATGCCCATGTTTAACGATGCGCTGCTTTGGTGTGGGTGGGGTGAACTTGGCCCCCCGGCATGCTTCTCCGAGGACTAGAGCTGACACCTCGTCTCATTCACAGTTAATGAAAGAGGAAATAATTCATACGAATCGCATCTTCCCTCTCCGAAGACCAAAGTGCATGAAAGGCTGAGTAAACCAGGAAGTAGCAATTCAGGACATTTCTGCTAGACACGTCATTTATTTTCTAGCTTCTCATATAGTGATAAGTTCATTTCTTTGCCCATGTTGTGCTGGATAACTCCCTTACTTTGGTACTAGACTTCCGGTATCCAAAATGAAATAGCTTTTTTAGTGCCTCCATCTATCTAACCCCGAGTCAATACTCTTAAGTTAATATCTCCCTTTCCTTCTCCAAGATAAGTCTGTGCAAAGTTATTGGCATCACTGGGGGATCTGGCAATATAAGCAAGCACACAAATTCTTCATCATCATAAGCACAGTGAATTTATAAGATAGGAAAGAATAACTTCGGAAGCAGCATCAGAGCCAAGGAAGTTATAAGCTGTTGTCAGTGTTGGTGTTTTTAATAACGGCAAAAACATTAGCATGGCTGTAGCATATGAGTTCGATTGACACAGTAGTTTCAGGGCCTGGTCTTATGACTGCCTCTCATCATCTGGAAGGCTATGATTCTTCCGAGACCCAGCAGTGGGCTGAGGGGAGGGGAGGGGAGGCGGCTGGAGCTGCAGACTTCATTTCAGTTGATTCGCTTGGCACCCCACCTCTTTCCTTCCCCTTCCCTGGACCTAAATCTGGATGGTTGAAAATGGCCATAGGAAAAAACGCAGGGTGTGCGTTGCAGCGACAACAGATTTTCCTGCCCGTGCGCCTTGATTCTGAGGTTGGCAGGGCAAAAGCATCCAAGTTCGGAGCGTGTGCCGCAGGGATCACACCTTTAGTTGTACAATAAGAAGCAGCATCATTGACGGAGCTAAGTGCACGCCCCTATTGTAGTATGTTTTTATTTAAATAAAAAATTTCAACCTAAAAAAAAAAAAATCAACCTATTCCCCAGAGGGACACAAGTGCAGAATGTAACTCCTTAAGAATATCAGAATCTCACTTTGCTTTCTGTCTTGCTTGCTTCCTTAATTTCCTTCTTGCTTGTTTGCTTTCTTTCTTGCTTGCTTGCTTTCTTCCTTTGTTTTGTTAGCCTTTCTTCACTTTTCTTTCAGTATCTTGAAATCCTTCCCTCTCCAATGATTAATAAAATTAGAACAAGTTGCAGGAGAAAAAGAAACAAAAGAAAATAAATTAGGCAACCTAAGAAAAGAAAGGATGATTTTTATAGAGAGCACAAATCTGCTTTTCTTTTTGCGAAATTCATTTTGGTACAGAACGTCTTGTTTGTTTTATTTTGGACTTAATTAATAGTTTTCTACACCAGATAAATAGTGGAACAGACAAAGACAGAGAGAGAGAGAGAGAGAGATGATAGATCTGTTGCAGCATGTCTAGCATACAATGTGCAAAAATCAAAATATGAAAGAGGCAGATGGAAAATACTTCAAGCATAGCGATGGTGGAAGATTTGCTTGGACTGGAATGCCTTAAAATTCTCCCTGGGACAGGAAGCAAAGCGTCCTGAGGGACATTCCCAGGAGAGCGTCCCATAGCTTTAATGCTAGCAGTACATGAGTGTTTCATCTCATGTTGGTTCTGAATTCATCCAGTTCTCTCTTGAAGGGAGAGTGACTTTTAAAAAATGGCAACCCAATAAGATCGGATTATACACACATGACCCACCATTACTGTAATCATCTGCCTAGCAACTGTTTCCCCTTTCCATTTTTTCCTGTCGGATGGGGCAGTGAGGGCTCCTCTGACTCTTAAGAGCTCCTGACCTGCTTTTGTAGGGGCCCAAGCCAGACTGGGAGGGCTGCACCTTCTCAAGAGTAAAAACGGGGAAGGGGGATGTCGTGGCTCCACTGTAAGCATTCTTTGCAAAATTGTCTCTGAATATCCGATTCTGGCTCCTCGGAATCCACCCTATTTTTTCAGACTGTGCATATGCCAAGAAGTTCTGCCTGGGATGGTGGGGATCCAGTGCACTGGGATTGCACTGGAAATATGTTGTTTTCTTACCTTGGCTTTCTCAACAGCATTTGAAGAAGCGCACCACCTGGGGAATGTAAAGAGCATTGGAGAGACCTGCAAATGCCTTTCTTAAAATAACTGGGAAGGCTTTTTAAAATAGAAGAGTTTAAAGAATTAAAACCAAAACACAGGGGCCCCTCAGCCACTTTGTAGCTTTAGTTATTACTGAAGTACCCAATCCCTCAACCAAATGAAACCTCATTCATGGTGGGTGGAATTCAGCACAGCTCTAATGCAGCTACAGGAGAGTCCATGGGCCTTTGTTTATGTAAAATATGGAATTTCAGCTGCAGTTTTTTATGTCTGCTTCTCCCACTTGTGTATGTAGACATAAAATTGTTGCCTTGAATTGCTCCCTCGAAGCAAAAGCTGCATCTATGGATGGATGGCTGAGATTTTGTGCTTCAGTTTTGATCAGAATTTACCAAAGTCCAACAAGTTCTCCACATTCAGAACAAAAATGACATGAGGTTGTTTTTTTAATCAAGTGCAAAGAAAACCAAAACAGAGATTTCTCCTCCAAGTCCAAGGCTTTAAGTGCCTTTCTTCTTACAGGTCTGGGGTCAAATCTTTGAATGTTCAGCGATGCTAGTGCCCTGTTTTTGAGAGGGTTTTCATCTTTAACAGCTAAAATTCACACACCTGTATCAAAGACCCCTCCAGCCTGGGAGCAGCTGCACCCCTTGGATTCAGCTGGTGCAGAGTCATGAGAATTATTTTCTTTTCAAAGTCCGAATTTTCCAAGATTCTCAAAAGCTATATATGGGAGAGCAAGACATTAAACAAGAGAATGCAAAGCAGGCAGCTTCTCCCATTCCCAGGACCTGCAGCAAGACTGTTTTTGTGTGTTGTGTTGTGTTGTGTTGTAGGTGAACAGGGCATTGCTGTGTGGGAACACACCACGCAGTAAAGGATGCAGTCGGCTGCAGGTGTGCAGCTGTGTCTCATTCAGGCTGTTTAGCTGCTTCTGCAGTAGACTCAGGTGTGTCCCTCCTTCATTAAAGGACCACAGAAAGGCTTCCGGGTCGATCGTGTGATTTGCTTTCTCCACGCTTGCATTCGGCAGTGGTGAAGAGAAAGGGAAATATTATTATTATTATTATTATAACATTTCTATGCCGCCCCTTGCCGAAACCTCGGGGCGGCTTATATATAAACCTCGGGGCCGCTTAATATCCCACTAAGTGAGGGAACCAAAGCTTCTGTGCTTAAGATGCCTTTTGTGGGGAAAGTGCCCAATAAATATAATAGAGAATGAACAAATGAACTAATGAAACAAGTTGTCGCAAACCCTGGATGTGTGGTTTTGAGATGGTGGTTGTTACACCCGAACAGGTCGCGTCTGATTTATGGTGCCCCTATGGATGAGGGGCCCCCAAAATGTCCGGAACTTGACAGCCCTGCTCAGTTCTTGAAACCTCAGGGATGTGGCTTCTGCCATGGAATGATCCATCCAATATCTGGTCTTCCTGTTCTACTTCTACCATTGACTTTCCCCACCCTGTCTTTCCCATTCTCCAGGGAACCTCACCTTCTCACAGGAGAGTATTAAAAAGTTACACTGGAGAATTCCTAGTCCATCGATTCCTGATTCAACCTTTGTTCATGTTGTTGTTCAGTTGTTGTTGTCTAAGCCACCTTAATTAGCCATTGAGGAAACAAAATACAAAATTAGCAGGTGGGCTTTCAAGGTCATTGTTTCCTGTTCATCCCATGCGGAGATTTGTTTAAGAAGGTTGTGACACTGCAATTACTAATTTAATTATCTGCATTACCTCCAGGAGAGAGTCAGCATTTTGTTGTTTGATGGCTTTGCTTTGGTATACTCATTGTTTAGGGTGGGGGCAGCTGGCAATGCCTTTCACCAGAATTTGGAAGCAGCGTGCATTTCCTGCTTGGTGCTTATGCTGAAGTATCATTGGATGTGACCTGGACCTGAGCAGTTTTACATCCCATTAATCTCAAAGGGAGAAGCAACATACACATATGATTGACTTCATGCTGAAATCAGCAGGGAGTAAGAGTGCTTGAGTTTGGCTGATCTGTGCGCCTGGGTTTTTAAAGCAAAGGAGAGGACGGACAGCAGGGGTCTGCATAAAAGCAAAACTGGAGCTCGTCAGAGTTCTCACAGCTCATATCCATCACAGAATGCAATCTTCATTTTCCTTTTTGAACAAAGCGTGTGTGCTTTATGTACATTCTTCCAAATGAAGATGGCAAGTTTTGCACATCTTTGAAATGCATGCTTTCTTCTGCCATTGATTATGACACGATTGCGTGATTTTTTCAAAAGTACATGTTTCCGTGCACAGTTTTTAAAGGTGTGCATGACATCAAACACTTTTTTGGTCCTCAAATCATATTATGAGCCTGGAAAGGTACGGTCTGGATTCTTGTCCAGACATATATTTGCAAATCAAGTCTTCCTTAAAATGAATGGAAACAAATGTTCCAAGTGTTTCTAGGGAAGGCACAGAAAATGTGTTAAATCCAAAGAACTTGTCCACACAGAGGGTTGTCCACAGCATCTCCATATGACCTCATGCTTTGGTCTTTCCTCCCAGAAATCATCCAAGCACAGGTGAAATCCCTCCTTCAGGTGATCATTCCAAGACTCAAAGGGTTCATTGGACACCCGTAGATGAGAAGGTCCGATATATCCCTCCACTGATCACTCTCTGATCTTGTTGCCTTCCAATCAGGAGCCCATGTCTGTGCTTAATGCAGAATCATGAAACCATATAGTTGGTGGCTCATTCGTTCTTGGCCAAGAAGTTGAGGCAGGAAAGGCAGACAGAGACTCTTGGCTTTAATCTGCCTTCATTTTTGCTTGTTTTTGGAGCAGATGCTCTACCTCCAGACTGACCAACTGCTTCGCCGGATCTCCGTCCTTGATGATGAGCTGGACCAGGTCTGAGTTGCAGCCTGGTGGATGCCCCTCCTGGTCCAGATTGGTTGAGTGGTCCTAATTCTGCAAACCATGCTTTGGCTATGAGGGCTAAAGGAGTGCAGTTAGTAGATAAGCATGCAGTGAAGGAGCAGGGGCCATCACCTCTGTGGTCCAGGATGGGATAGACCTTGGACGGACTCCACCCCCCAAAGGCCACCATGCCTTTCCTTGTGGTTCACCCACTTCCAGAATGAGGACACATCCATGTCTGGAACAGTGTCAGACAGAGGAGAAAGAGAGAGAGAGAGAGAGAGAGAGAGGAACCCAGTGGGATCAGGCAGCGCCATGCAATTTAATGCATTTCCTGCCGCTGCCACCACTTGGTAAATATCTTGTTTATTGCTTGATTGGCTGGCTGGCTGGCTACGTTTCTAGACCCCCTGTTGCTAACCTAACCCAGATTCTGCCAGAGAATTGGGAAGCCTTCATCCTACCAAGCAGCAGTTTACCATTTCGGCTTCAGGTCATCTCTCACCCTGCACCCAGCCCTCCATTGCCCTCCAATTGATCTCAGTCCAGCACCCAGAGATGTCATTATTTTGCAGCCAAGGGCCATGAACGCAGCCGGTTTCACCTTCGCTGTGGATTTCCATGTGAAGTGTTTGGGATCTGTTTGTTGTTGTGTTTTTAAAGGCGGTTTGAAGCTACAAGGGGTTTTAAAAACAACAACACAGACTCTTTCCTGCCGAACAACCTCGCAAGGCATAATTAGATTGAAACTTTGAAATGCTCTTGGTGATGCTGCCATAAATACTCAGAACGCAGCCCCAAAAGCAGCATGTGGTTGCTCTTGTTGATGATGTCGTGATTGCCATATGCACGTTTGTGCTTAAATATTCAATGAATGTCAGAAGGATCCCAGATTAACATCCCCACATATCCTACCTGGAGAACTGCAAGAGTGCAGGTGAATCTCCCCGAGCAGCCCTCTCCCTCATTAAGATAACTCAATACATCTTTCGTGAAATGTTTAGCGACTGCAAAATGAGGAATGAGGCTGCCCGGTAGGTGCTATTAATTCTGCAGCCGTTCACAGGGTCCCCCGAAGAGGAGCCAAGTACCGCGCAGTCAGCGGCTGATGGATCGCAGCCTTCCGCCTCTCCCGCGAAATGTGCAGAACGTGCAAAATGGTGTGCAGCCTTATTCAAGAGTGCCTGAGAGTTGAGATGTTGTATATGTGATATGTACATACAAAGAACACATGCATGTGTAATTATCCATGGAGGAAGCGGTGTACACTTACGAAGAGCATATAAATCTTGCGTATAGTTTGAAAAGCACAGACAGCAATGCAAACAAATGTAGGAAAGGGAAGGTTTGTGGACACTTAATCCCAGCTGAGCTTGGCTGTGGAAAAAGGAGAGCCTCAGCAAGTCAAGCTTGCAGAATGCCCCATACCTGCTCTGAGAACCCATAATTCTTCCTTTGTGTACCCTCTAAATGGAAACCGTCTCAGGTATAAATGCAAACCACGTCTTCCATTCTGTGCGGGATCTGCAAAAAGTTTCCACACTTATTAGGAGTTTCCAGTTTTATTAAGAGTTTCAAAAACATCACTTTTCACCTTCCGTCATGATACATTTTTCCCAGCATCGTACCAACTTTTAATGCCATCTGCAAAAAATATATAAAATATATTTATAAAGTATGAAAGTGTGGAAACTTTTGGCAGACCCCTCGTAATTTTGATAAAGTGTGGCAGGACCTGGAAAAGGGTACAGGCGAGGTTTCCCATCTCTTGGTCAGATGGAATGGTTGGGGTGCTCGTTCCTTCGGGAGCATCGGCATGTGCTGAAGGAGGAGAGGTTGTTCTCCCTTTCCCATAACACTCAAGCACAAAGGGGACCTCGCCTGAAGCGCTTTGGTGGGAGACGCAGGACAGATCAGAGAGAGGCCTTCCGCTGCCCTGCGGTTCTTAAACGGGGGCTTCTGCTTCCTTGGGATTGTTGACCTTCCTTTGCCTGTTTAGGAGCATCCGATGCCTCCGCAATATCATCCACTGGAACCTGATCACGACGTTCATCCTGCGGAACGTGATGTGGTTTGTACTTCAGATGATCGACCACAACATCCACGAAAGCAATGAGGTACTCCCTGGTGCTCGTCTGGCCACGTGGCACGACCCACACAGACACGTGTCTTTGTGAGCGTGGTCGTATTTGGACCCCACCAGTCCCCATGCGAGGAATGCAAGCCATTGATCCTCACGGCAACCCTGTGAGGGGGGTGGTTGAGGCCCCGTCGGAGGGCATCCAAGGATAGGCCGGACGTGCACATGGTGGGCGTGTTGTGAGCAGAGCCGGATGGAGCCGGGGGTCAGACTAGATGGCCTGGGAGGTCCCTTCTGACTCGCTCAGTTTCCGTTTCTATGAGGTTGGGCGGGAGTCAGTGGCAGACCCAGCATCCCCCTCCTGGGTCCTTCCTGGGCATCTGCTTTGTGCACATTTCCCAAGATCAGTATGAATGTGGGACGGTGTGTGGGACAAGAGCCTCTTCCAAGCTTTCTCCATGAAGAGGGGGTGGCAGGACTGTACCATTTCTGTCCTGACTCCAACCTAGCGCATGCCACAGCCGCCACCTCTGGAGGCACTGATACAAAGGCTGGCCAGGGGTCCTGTTATTTGCAGACATTTGATAGCAGCAGAAAAGTTACCAAAATCAGGAAGAAGTGCCTGTGCATCGCAGCATTGGCACAGAATGCGTTTCTCCATTCGCCTCCATCATCTTGGTCCATTCATTCTGCCAAAAGTCAGCCTAGACCATTATATTTCAGAATGCGTCACCTTCTTTTTTAGTCCCCTTCAGATCCCTTAAACCCCCTCCAAATTCTAATTCCCAGGTGACTGTAATCCCAAACCTGCATTTCCTTACTTCAGCCCCTGTACCGTCGCCTGTCTCCTCTCCCTCTTCAGCTGCCCTGCCTCCACAATGTAGCTTGTACGCTGCGCTGGATTAAGACCCTCTCTCTTGGATGCAGGTTATGGTGAGATACACCCATGACACTGATGCTCAGCATTCCCTGCACACTAACGAGAGCCATTATGGTGCAGTGGTAAGAGGGCTGGACTGGGGGCACAGGAGAGCCGGGTTCTAGTCCCCATTCAGCCATGAAGCTCATCGGGTGACTTTGGGCCAGCTGCGACTCTCCTACCTCTCAGGGCTGTTGTTGTGAGGATAAACCGGAGCTAGGCAAGCCACCTTGGGTTGCTCCCCAGAAGAGAAGATGGAACATCAATGCAATGCAGCAGGAGCGGTACAAGCAGCCAGCTCAGTTCTCTGCATGCTGATCTGCGTATAATCAAAGCAGTACTTTCTCTGCATGAGGTTTTCAGAAAATCCAAAGGACGCCAAGAAAGGCAGTTATAGGTGGCATATAAACATATGCCATAGCTATGATTTATATATATATATATATATATATATATATATATATATATATATATATAAATAAATAAATTTATATATATCACCTTCCCCCTCCGCCCTGATAAAAGCTGTCCAACAGGAACGGTGCTTGTTCTTGCTTCACCTGGAATATTGATCGACTGTTAAGGGGGAAAGCAGGCAGCTGGGGGCGGGATATGTAATGGAGTATTCTGGAAGAGGGCAGAGCCCTGAAAAGAGTGCTCTGTGCCACAGGATTTCATCGCAGCTCTTGCTCGTGAGACGCAATTTGCTGAACGAACAGAAGTGCACGGTTTCCTCAAAGTCACAGGTGTCTCTCTGCGTATTCACTTCTCTCTCCCTGTACCCTTAGAGGAACTTGCAATTTATGATGCTATTCTATTTCCTGGCCTTGATGGTACCTTGAGGAAATAAAATACTTTCAATCATTCATCTTTCACTCTTTTTTAGAAAAGGGGAGCATTCCTATAAATAATTTCTGCCTCTCGGACATGGCCCAGCCCAGAACAGTAGGATTCTGTCAGATGAAATCACGTCTCCTCAGAATTATGCCTTTCACCTCGCTCTGCCTCATCTCATCTCTCCTCCTCTTGCTCATCACACAATGGAGCTCCACGTTGGCTGATCACCTCCCACATACGCCTGGTTTGCTTCTGACGACCTCTTTCTCATGCAGCCTCACGGTATCCATAGAGACAGAGACCCCCTAAGCGGGAAGGAGATGGCTCTGCTCCATCAATGCCAACCCTAGAGGAAAAAACTTTCCACAAACTTCTCGGGCTAAGGAAAGGATCAGGTCTTCTTTTAATTAAAATATTTCTTCCTGGTACTTTCATTCCATCAAGAAACCTTCATGATGTTGTCAAGAAACACTCTCCATTTCCAGTAAAGGTTATATAATGAGACATCCCAGATTGGATCTGGATTTAGACATCCTTGGAGCAGACCCACTGAAATCCATGGGACTTAGGTTAGTTCTAGCTTCTGTCCAAATGCTTTCGATGGGTGTTCTCTAAACCTGAATCTGAGCCCTAATTCCATGATGTTGTCAAGGAGAATATGGAGGTTGGTCCCGGTGAATCAATGCTTCCTCCAGTATCAGAGGCAATGCCTATGTACCCCGGTTGCTGGGGAGCATGGGCAGGAGGATACTACTTCAATCATTCCTAATTGTGTTGACCACTGGGTGAGCACACCGCAGCCTGAGATGGACTCTTGGCTCTTCTTGCGTTCTTAGAGCAGCGGTGCAGACAGCAGCAGCATCCAGGGCCTTGTGGATCCGATCCACCAAAAGTGAACGCTCACATCCTCAAATAAGGGAAGAAGAGGGACGTGCTGCTTGTCCCAGCGGTTCTTTCTTGCCGCTTCATAAAATAGGCAGCTGAGATGACGCATCCCCATCTCATGCTTCGTCCGCATTGGTCTCATCACTGGCTGGAATCTTCCTTTCGCAGATTGGGGGTGGGGGGATCACCTGATTCTCAGGGGTGCCCTGTCCTCTTCCAACATGGCTCCCCCATTCAGTGGGGTTTCCCAACCTTCTGGGTAGCATTTTCCAGGGATCGGTAGCGCAGCTGCAAAAAGATGGGGACAAGGAATCCCATCAGCTCAGTTCACATGCCTAAGTCTGGCTCTGGCCCTTGCTATTGCATGCATGCATGCATGTATCGGGTTTCTTTAAAGCCGCCCATTACAAACATGTCCCCTGGTCAACATGGTGTGCACATGAGGCTGAGAAAGCCACAGAATTGCTCTTTCAGCTGAACCGAATCCGTGCTCTGTATCGAGCCGGGGGTCGGAGTAGATGGCCCGGGTTTTCTCCTCAAAGCAGATGCAATTAAGCCCATTCAAGGAATGGTACGTCTAATCTCGTGCTTCACGAGTTGTGAGCTCACAGGGTCAGGTGGGGATTCATAGATTTCTTTCATCGTCTTCTCTTGCTGCAGATTTCTAATTATGCCTTTTCCAGAAAGGGTTATCTCTAGCATGATTATCTTCAGGACATATGCTAGCACTGGGTCGCCACTGCTCCTTCACGTTGCTTTGACTCAGGCCCCAGTTTGTTCTGGCTGATTCAGAGTCAGTCATCTTCAGAGTCTGGAAGTTTAGGAATCCGTTGTTTCATGCTTCCTGTTGATTCTCATGGGAAATTCAGAAGTGCCTGCATCTTTTTCTCCCTCTGTTGCAGTCTTAGCAGCCATTAAGGAGGGAATTACGTACACCAAATGTCAGATGAATGGCTGTAGAAGTTCAAGTCTCCCAGATTTGGTCTCCTGGGCTCCAGTTTGTTAGTTCTGTGCTGGAATTTCCTTGTTACGGCACTGGTCAAGCCAGCTCACAGACGTCTGTGATTTGCACACTTCTTTTTAACCACGAATGAAATCCATTATTATTTTTGCAAATCACAGACAGTGCAAACCAGCCAGTCTTACCCAGAGCTCAGTGAGAACATGGCGTTGGGGTATTTATTTAGTTAGTAGTAAAAATGATCTGCAAATTGCAGTCTGTCTTAGAGCTGGAAGTGTGTGAAGCAAAAACCAGCTCTAATAATAGGATCTGAAGTGGGCAGGAAGTCTGCCAAGTTCAAATGAACTGGACTTGCTTGTTTCAGTATCTGTGTAGCCATAACTACACTGCAACTTTGGCAGGTGGTGCCAACCATCATCAGAGACAACATTTTGAGTCAAAGGTGGATCACTGGCTTTGAGCCAGTAGAACAGCTTCTGTTGTGTAAGGAACCAGGCATGTAAAACAGCTCGTTCTTATTTCCTATTATATTCTCCTGGTTTTATGGCCGTGCATTTACAAGACTCTCACTTGCCAAGGAAAGCTCAGAAACATGTGAGCAGATGGTATTAATAGGAGACTCTTAACTTCTCACAGCGCGATTTTGCTTGGAAAGCACTTTTCTGAAGAGTGCCTGCTCTCTTCTAGGGAGCAAGAATTGGATTTGAGCTTGCAGATCATCAGAAATTACCCAAATCCCTGCTCAGCCATAAAAATCACCACCATGTCTCTGTCAGCCTTGGACTTCCTGAAAAGACTATTGTGAGAATTAAAAAGGAACCAGGTAGCCACATGAAGCGCTTTTGTAGCACTGCAAGGATTAAATGCATGATTTAATGCAGCCCTTCCTTCAGCTACAGTCAGCTAAATTGGCGTGTCGCAGGAGCACGTAAAAGTGCCCCATACCCTCTAGAACAGATGGGGCCACAGGTGCCCACCTGCTCCCTATGTCTCCCCCATGGGTCTTGTTTGATTCCTTTGCTAGTTGTGGTGTCGCTGCATCACGACGATCTTCAATTACTTCGTGGTGACCAATTTCTTCTGGATGTTCGTGGAGGGCTGCTACCTACACACCGCAATCGTGATGACTTATTCGACAGACAAGCTGAGGAAATGGGTCTTCCTCTTCATCGGATGGTGTGAGTCACAAGGAGGGGGGACGTTCTTGCAGCCCAAAGACTGGGCTATGGAGGGAAACCATATTCAAGGTGCTGGCGATGGGGAAGGGTCGAAAGCACAGAACACGCTCTGCTCAGGACTGATCCTCGTTGCATTTGAAACATACTGAGCCGTTTCAAAAGCTCGTGATCAGGCATCTACTCTGAGAGGCTTTGGAGAGGCAGTGTGGTATATCAGCTAGAGCAGCCAGTCCCTTAGCTGGTACTCCCCACCTGGCCTTGGATTCCCATCATCCCCAGAACTGAGCAATGTTCAGTGTCTGTCAAGTGTACAGCTATCTCAAATGGGAAAGATCGGTATGTTTTCTCCGATAGGGATGGGGTTGTCACCCCCTTTTCCACAGCAGCCCAAATCCAGCCCCCAGCCCCCCCTCCCCCAGCTAGCTCTGGACTCTCCCCGAAACTGCAGGCCCCTCCCATTGATTCACCTAGACATCCTCCTCTGACCACCTCCTCCTCTTCCTCCGTACTCCTAGTTTTATTTTTTTTTAATTCTTTGTTGTTAAAAATAATTAGACTTGCTCTCTAACCAGCTACCAGTGACACATCTGACCCCACAGTGGGCACAGTGGGTCGCAGTACCGAGACCCACCAGGGGGATTGTGCCGTACAGTGTGAGGAACGCCAGTTTGAAGATCTCCCCTTCTCGCTCTCCTCCTCAGGTATTCCGTGCCCGATCATCGTCGCCTGGGCAGTCTGTAAGCTGCAGTATGAAGACGAACAGTAAGTCACAGCAGTCCAGTCCGCCTGCAAAGACTGGCTTTGAGCGAGACCCTATGGCCTCCCCACATTTTCCGGGGGGGCCCTAGGAGTCTCTGGATTCCCAGCTCCAAGATCCTGCACTTTCTGAGATGGGGATCCAAAGGCCAACCTCCCACCCTGACCCCTCGTGGCCTGTGCAGAAGGAAGGTTGTATTCGATCCCTGGGGGAGAAAAAGGGACATGATGGACGTGCAGAGGGGAAGATGGTGGCGCCAGGGAATTATGCTAGTCCTTCCGCATGTGATGAGGGAACGCCAGTGCAATTCAGCGTCCTCCTCTCTGTTGCTAAACTGAGAGGGCCAAAAGTGGCCTCCAGAAAATGCAAGATTCAACGGATGGTGGTGCCACCACTGTGGTTTGTTCTTGCCACTGGATTCTCATAGGCTTCCGGGTTTGGAGGCATGTGTGTATAAACCACAGGGGTGATCAGATTGTGCCCCTCTTGGATGATGGCAAAACTACCAGGCCAAAATGCTCCTCACCTGTACTAATGACACAGCCCAGAGTTTTTACAGCCATTTTCAGGGTTCAGCACTTTGAAAGAGGAGAACCTCCAGAGGTTGTGAGGGGCCTGGTGGCTGAATGTTACTAGCAGATTTTGAAAAACGAAAGGAACCGCCCGATGCTCAGCACTTTAATGTCCGTGTCAGCGGCTGCCCAGCCCTTCTTCTCCAACTGGCTTGTCCTAGCAGGTGGACTTGGGATGACTCACCTGTTGGCTCCCTCTTTCAGCATGCTGACTTTTTGCTTCAACATTTCGTGTGTGGTCTTTTCTATGCAAAGCCAGTGCAGTTCGCTTGACCATGCATTATCCTTGCAACTCGAGTCTTTTCCTTACAAAAAATTCAAAAAATCATTTGTTATTCAGATGGCTGATGTCTGTTAGCCTTGAACCAAAAAAAGAAAAGAAAATCCAAATCTTTTTGTGGGTACAAAAGCAAGGGAAAGTTTTCTTTTTGCCATCTCTGCAGGAGGGATGTATGTGAAAATGCTTACATGTGCCATAATTTGTGATGTAGAAGCAAAGTTCTTTTTTCTTCTTCTTTTATGCTTCCTGAATATCACTGCTTTTGTGTGGGAGGAGGATATAGCGGTCTCCACAACAAGAAACATTTGCAGGGGTTAAGCGATGACATTTAAAATTAGAAGAGGAAGAAACAGCCCCCCTCCCTGCATGCTTGCCCCCCAAATAAATACCCCTGTCCAGTGTTAAGAATCTTCTCCACACACACACACACACCAGGATGTATTTTCCTCTTAGCATTTTGTTAGACAAATGTCTTTATTCAGCCCTATTGCACCTTGTTGACGTTTGAAGATTGCAAGGGCTCTTGTGGGGCCTGGCCATTTACAATCCAAGGAGGAAAAGAAGTGCTTTTCTTGCTTTTCCTGAAAGTGTTTCCAAATGCAAGATTTCAGTTGCTCCTATTTAATCCAACCAATATGGTTCACTCTTTTGGAAAAAGTGGGCCCTAAACCTTCTGCCCAGTTCTGGATGTCCTGGCCATGGCCTGTTAACTGAAAAACTCCCCGATTTCGGTGGCAAAGTCTTCCTTGTGAGATGACTGTACCACTTGGAGGTCTTTGTTGACTGGGTATCCTACCTGTCTAGAAATACACACCTCGCTAGGAAGAGGTGCCAATGCAGATTTTGGCAAATGTTCCTCCAGCCTCCCTCAAAAAGCAGAGAACAGAGGGATTGTGCTGACCAGGGAGAACTTCGGGTAAGAAAGAGCTGGTGGCATGGGGGGAAACACACTTCTTTTCAAGTCTCCAGCCATGGCAAGGCAAAACCCAGAGATGCCACGAAGCCAGGAAGCAACAGGGGAAAGAGGGAGTGGGTAGGTGGCATCCATTCCCCAAGTTGCACTGAACAGAACAGAGAGGCGGTTTTTCAGGACCCTGGACAGCACCCAGGACTCTGTCAAATTAGCCTCTTTCAACCCAGCACTCTCCAGATGCATTGGACTGCACTTCCCATAATTCCCACCCAGCCTTCCCAGATGGCTGGGAATTAGGGGAAGTGCAGTCCCGCATGTCTGGAGGTTACCAGCCTGGGGGAAGCTGTATTCTGGGAACCCTGGGAAGAGCATCTCTTTCTGGCTCTGTCTCCTGGCGGAGGTGTGAAGAACCATAAAGGAGAAGTCCCTTGGACAAGCTTGGTCCTCTTTCTCCTCCTCACGGTGTCTCTCATCCTGGTCTCCCAAGCCACTGGGCTTGGACTCCTGCGTCCGCTGGAGAGACTGGGGAGCAGTTGGACCAGTGAAGGCCCGGCAGAGTTGACATGATGCAGGCTGACGTACCTTTGGGCTGGCTTGGCCGGGCTTTGCCCAACCTGGAGGAGGACCTTACAGATGTTTGGTACTACAGCTTTCGTCATAGAAACATAGAAACAGAGCGAGTCAGAAGGGGTCTCCCGGGCCATCTAGTCTGACCCCCGGCACCAGCCGGCTCTGTTCATGACATGCCCATCATGTGCACGTCCAGCCTATCCTTGAACACCCGCACCGATGGGGCCTCAGCGACCTCTCGTGGAAGCCCATTCCACACCCTCGGGGTCCTGACTGTCAGGAAGTGCTTCCTGGCATCCAAATA